CCTGGGAGTTGAAGTACAAAACATCTGGAGGACCAAAGTTTGGGAACCACCGCATCTAGCCCAAATGTGGGAATTGTGTGTCCTTCCAGATGTCATTGAGTTGCAACTCCTAGCATCCCTAGTCAGGATTACCAGTAGTCAGGAATGCTGGGACATGCAATCCAATGTCATTTGGTGGGCTATGCCATTCCCACCCTTCCTCTAACAGGAGCAGAAGGTGCAACCACTATAGCTCATTCCAGCAAAAATAAATGTAGCTATAATAAATTTTTAATGCAGCATTGGCATGCTTTTCTTCCTGTTCCCCAGGGACAAATCGATGCCGCATTAAAGCCTCTTTCTTAAGTCAAAGATGTTAGCCTGGCGATATTTGATACTGAAATTGCCCTCTTTTTGGAAGCAATCTAGCAAATAAGGCAAAATAAGAGTAGAAGCGACTAGGAGATGAAATCAGCAAACTGAGGGTCTGATCCACTCAGGACAAAACCTGCATAATCCCCATTGAGATTTGGGAGATTTGAGCAAAAATGTTTTCTTTTTGCTTGGTCCCATTTATTTTCTGTGCAAGTCGATGTAGCGAATGTTTTTTTCCATTCTCTGTTTTGATGCAGGAATACTGGACTGGGTCTAATTTTATTCAGGATTAACAACAGGATTTAGGATGACTGTTTTATATTATATATACACTTCCCTGTAGGAAATGCTTTGATGGTTTTTGCTTTTAAAATGGCTTTAATTATGCTTTTTTAAACTTGTGTTTTAATATTGTTGTTGCTTTTGGCTGCATCCACACTGCAGAAATAATCCAGTCTGACACCATGTCTCAATTCTATGGAATCCTGGGTATTGTAGTTTGTTTTGGGACCAGATCTCTCTGATGGAGAAGGCTAAATGCCTCATTAAACTACAATTTCCAGGATTCCATAGCACTGGGCTATGGCAATTAAAGTGGTGTCAACCTAGATTATTTCTGCAGTGCGGAGGCAACCAACTATAGCATGTCTATTTCCGATTTATGTCGACCCTAAGGCAAACCTATCAAGGGGTTTTCTTGGAAAGTTTCTTCAGAAGGGGATTGCCTTTGCTATCCTCTGAGGCTGAGAGAGTGTGACTTGCCCAAGACCACCTAGTGGTTTTCTGTGGCCAAACTGGGATTCCAATCCTGGTCTCCAGAGTCCTAGTCCAATGCTCAAATCACTACACCATGCTGGCCCTCATTTTTATTATCGGTATTATTTAATTATTCTAAAAATGTTGTGATTAATGTTTCAGTTTTATCTTTTTAAATTATTTGAGAAAATTATTTGAGAAAAAGGTGGGATATAAAACCCATAAAATAAATAAATAGGGAAAAAGATGACTCACGAACCTGCCAGCAATGGTTAGCTCATTTTCTATACTCTGCAATCCCAGATTCCTCCCTGAAGTTTACTTTCCTCTTTTTCTTTTAAAAAGTCAATTTGAAGGATGAATCTGGGGTTGCAGAGTGTAGAAAATGAACTAACCATTCCTGGCAGGCTTGTGAGTCATCCTTTTTCCTATGTATGTATTTATTTATTTATGGGATTTATATCCCGAAGTCGATGTCTTTTGGGATGGGAGGATTTTTGATGCATCTCTGCTGCAGAGTTGGGCCAGAATGATTGCTTTGGGACCGGAATATGTAAATATACCGTCGCAGTGACCTCTTAGCTTTGCAAAAGGGCTGGCAAGGAAAAGAGAGGAAGCCTCCTGCATGTGTTATCATCCAGCTCCCTCTCAAGTCGTTCTGTCTCTTCTTTGTTCACTTTTCCCCATCTTTTTTTTCTGGTCCTCCCAGGTTCCATCTTGCGACGCTGGAAAAGAAACTGGTTCGTCTTATGGGTGGATGGGACCCTGGTTTATTACCATGATGACACCGGTCACGACATGGATGGCCGAATCAATATCAAGTTCAACTGCCGGGATGTCAGGATAGGGCGTGAGTGTCGCGGTAAGTCGGCTTCTCTGCTGCGTCGGGTGTCCTCATGCGGCAGCTAAAAAGGCCAATGCGATTCTAGGCTGCATCAATAGAAGTACAGTGTCTCTAGATCAAGGGAAGTAATAGTGCCACTCTATTCTGCTTTGGTCCGGCCTCACCTGGAATAATCCTGTGTCCAGTTCTGGGCACCACAATTCAAAAAGGATGTTGAGAAGCTGGAATGTGTCCAAAGGAGGCCAACCAAAATGGTGAAGGATCTGGAAACCATGCCTTATGAGGGGGGACTTAGGGAGCTAGGTATGTTTAGCCTGGAGAAGAGAAGGCTGAGAGGGGATATGAGAGCCCTCTTTAAATATTTGAAGGGATGTCATATTGAGGAGGGAGCAAGCTTGTTTTCTGCTGCTCCAGAGAATAGGACCCGGAACAATGGATACAAGCTACAGGATAAGAGATTCCAGCTCAATATTAGGAAGAACTTCCTGACAGTAAGAGCTGTTTGATAATGGAAGACACTCCCTCAGACATTTTGATGGAGTCTCCATGTTTGGAGGTTTTTAAACAGAGGTTGGATGGCCATCTATTAGGTATACTTTGAGAGTTCCTGCATGGCAGGGGGGTTGGACTGGATGGCCCTTGGAGTCTTTTCCAACTCTATGATTCTATGATCTTTTAAGTTGTTGTTGTGAACATTCAAGTTGTTTCTGATTTACAGCAACCCTAAAGTGGACATATCACAGTTTTGCTGCCTAGGTTTGTTCAGAAAAGATTTGCCATGGCTTTCCTCTGAGGCTGAGAGAATGTGACTTGTAGAGGATCACCCAGTGAGTCACCCAATGAGTTGGCTAGGACCTGTCCAGGATCACCCAATAAGGTTCACCACTGAGCAGGGATTCAAATCCTGGTCTCCGGGACTCCTAGTCCAACACTTCAACCACTACACTGCACTGTCTTTTCCAGAGTTTTCTTGGCCAGATTTGTTCAGAGAAGGTTTGTCATTGCTATCTTCTGAGGCTGAGAGAGTGCGACTTGCCCAAGGCCACTCAGTGGGTCTCCATAGCTGAGCAGGGATTTGAACCCTGGGCTCCTGGAGTCGTAATGTAGCACTCCAGCCACTACACCCCATTGCCTCTCCCAGGGTTTTCTTGGCCAGATTTGTTCAGAGAAGGTTTGCCGTTGCCATCTTCTGAGATTGAGATAGTGTGACTTACCCATGGTCATCCAGTGGGTTGCCATGGCTAACTGGAGATTCGAACCCTGGTCTTCTGGAATCCTAGTCCAACACTGAAACCACTTCGCCATGCTGGCTTTCTCCGCCATGTTGCATCTCTTATTAGCATTAAGAAAATATGGTTTATATAGCCGGCCCTCCATATCCATGGATTTTTTTATCCACAGATTCAAGCATCCATGGCTTGGAAATATTCCAAAAAGATATAAACTCCAAAAAGCAAACTTTGATTTTGCCAATTTATATAAGGGACACCATTTTATTATGCCATTGTATTGAACGGGACTTGAGCATCCATGGATTTTGGCATCCACAGGTGGGCCCTGGGGCCAAATCCAGCGGATACCAAAGGTCCACTGAACAATTGGGATCTTTTTAATACTATACCAAAAGTGGGCATCTGTCAGGAATTCAGGGACCACATTGATCCCTAAGCCAATGCACTGCCCTGGATTTATAAAACAAACCATCTATAGTTTTTTGTTGGTTTTTTGGGCCGTGTTCTAGAAGAGTTTCTTTCTGACCGTTCGCCAGCATCTGTAGCTGGCATCTTCAGAGAATGCTGGAATGGAAGAGAGTGGGTCTGTCTCTATATATAGACCCACTCTCTTCCATTCCAGCATTCTCTGAAGATGCCAGCCACAGATGCTGGCGAAACGTCAGAAAGAAACTCTTCTAGAACATGGCCACACAGCCCAAAAAACCCACAAAAAACTATGGATGCCGGCCATGAAAGCCTACGACTTCACAAACCATCTATAATTCATTTTGTCTCTCACTGCTCCCCCAATGCTCTCTAGTGAGCATCCAGTGAATTCAGGGGTTTTGAAACCCTCCAAGGCTAGGCTAGCGGGGGCTAAACCAGTCCCCCAAATTATCTTGGAAAAGTTGAACCAATAAGACCCCAATGTAGTTTGAGTTTCCCCAGAATTATCTGTCAAAATTGTACTAAAGGACCCATCACTAAGAAATATTAAGATAGTGATGGTCATCACATTCCTAACTCCGTAATATCGTTTTTCGGGGAGCAGTGATCAGAATACTGGCAAGGTTGTTACACTTAATTATAATTTATTAATTATTATTTGTAATGAATTAACTGCATCCTGCTTTTTCCTCCAGTCATGGGTCTCAAGCAGGTTATGGTTGTTGTTGTTGTTGTTGTGTGCCTTCAAGTCATTTCTGACCTATGGCAACCCTAAGGTATCATGAGGTTTTCTTGGCAAGATTTGTTCAGAGGAGGTTTGTCATTGCCTTCCCCTGAGGTTGAGAGAGTGTGACTTGCCCAAGGTCACCCAGTGGGTTTCAAGGCCAAGCGAGCAATGGTCGCCAAAGTCATAGTCTCCAGAGTCATAATCCAACACATAAAGCACTACGCCACACAAGCAGGTTCCAAAAATTAAAACAAATGCAAAGAAATAAGTAAAAGCCTATGGAAGGTACTGTTGAAATGCAATTAAACGATCTGCAGGGTCAAGTCCATTGGAAACAAAACCTAAGATTTATTTTTAAAAAATCAATGGAGCAGTGTGCCGCTAAAAGCCTTGCGGTCCGTTCCTGAAAAGCCTGTTGGATCAGAAATGTTTTCGCCTGCCAATAAAAGGACACCAAAGAGGGAACCATTCCAGCCTTACTACGCAGTCTTCCAAGTACGGCGGCACTACAGATTTTTATAATGGTGGGATCTGTGATAGTTACAGGCAGATAGACTCAATCAAGGATGGCCCAGCTGCCCTGAGTTTG